CTGCTGCTGCTGCTGCTGCTGCTGCTGCTGCTGCTGCTGCTGCTGCTGCTGCTGCTGCTGCTGCTGCTGCTGCTGCTGCTGCTGCTGCTGCTGTCGCTGCCGCTGCCGCTGCACCTGCCGCTGCCGCTGCCGCTGCTGCTGTGTGTGTGCAGGCGGATGGGAGCAGCAGGATGGCTGCAGCAGGCGCCTTTGAATCCCCTCCCCTTGCGGGCGACGCAGCACACTTGCTTCACAAACTTTGCGCGGCGTTCCACCCTTATGGTGAGGCCAAGCAGCCGACCCGCCGCCTTCCGTGCAGCTTCGCACCCGCGCCACCCCCTCGCTCGAAAACGTCTTCGCAATGCCAAACCTTCAGGTGTACGCGCGCGGGGCTGAAAACGCCTTGCGGGCGACCACGACGCAGCGTGTCAGTCAGGGTTTGGAGAGGTCCCTAGCCGCCCCCGTTTTTATTTATCACGCCGGCTGTGCATCGCATTGAGCGCACCTAGAACCCGCCCATAGGAAGGCCGGATAACCCCTACCCCAGGACCCAGGCCCCCGGCGCCCCGGCGCTGCAGAGAGAAGAACGCATCAAGCCGTGCTGCATGCCGCATGCATGCACACATGCACGCATGTATGTAAATGCGCTTCCCCGCGTGCTGCTCCCGTTCATGACAATTTAGGGTACCTGTGTCCCCTTCCGCAGCATTACAGCCCATGATGGATGTGCCTTGCCTGGACTGCCATTAGTCAAGTGCACGTTGTGCCAACACTCTGGATCATTTTACAGTGGGCAAGTCCCAGTACGGGGTTGCAATGTCGAGAACTGCGGCCGCAACAGAGCGGAGCTGAGCAGCTGAAACCTCCTGTGAGTGATGTTCTCCTTCATGTGGGCACAGGTGTCTAGCGCATTCAGTCCCGAAAGCCGATTACTTTGACGTAGCTGTTTGTTTTGTGCTTCAGACCAGCTTGTAGGGCAGCTGTGGGCCACTTATGATCTGAGAGCGGTATGGCCCACCTTCTGGCAGCCCTAAGAGGCACTCAGAGTAAGATGATGCGTGACAAATCCATGGCGCAGCATACCGCGATGGTTACTGACGCTTGCTGTCGGATCTCCCGCAGGTGGCACTGGCGCAGCACTGCAGGCAACGTGGCCATGCTGGTGAGCAGACACAATGCAACAGAAATTCGCTGCAACGTTGTAATAATGAACTCGCAGGCCGCCACTCACATTGGCGCCGACATGGTGCACCGCACAGGTTGCTTGGCGGCGCAGCGGGCACATCAGCAGCAGCAGCTGCAGCAGCAGCGGACGCCGCGGCGGCGGCAGCGGGAGCAGCTCCTGGATGGCGGGCCGCGTGCGGGCCGGCCATCACGGCAGCATTACATCAGCAGCAGGTGAGCATGCGCCGTGCAGCAGGCCGCTGCCAGCCCGTCCTCCAGTGGCGAGTGCTCATTTGCAGCCGCGCCCCTCTAAACCCGACCAATCACCAGCAGAAAATCCCTTCACCCCCACCCCCAAAACAAAACCCCTCTGCAGGTCCGCCCGTATGCGCGCCACGCCCACGTCAGCGATGCCTACCGCACGCCCCCCACAAACTACGTCCAGCTGCTGCAGCACATCGCGACGGCAAAGCGCCTCAACCAGCTCGACGCTCTGATCAAGGATTACGGGGACAAGTGAGTGCGGTGCACCGCAAACCTGTCCGCCCGTCTTCCGCGGGCCGTACCCGCTGATTTTCAGGAAGCGCGGTGGGAGCACCCACGGAGCAGCGAAGGGCGCGGCGGCCGCGCCCGCGCCGCCCGCCGCACTGGGCGGCACCCGGGGAGTTGGAGGG